TCATGCTATCGGAGAACACCTCAGAAGAATGGCCCTTTTCCTCTCATGGTATCGGAGAACACCTCAAAAGAATGGCCCTTTTCCTCATGGTATCGGAGAACACCTCAGAAGAATGGCCCGTTTCCTCATGGTATCGGAGAGCACCTCAGAGGAATGGCCCTTTTCCTCATGGTATCGAAGAACACCTCAGAAGAATGGCCCTTGTTCTCAAAGTGCCAGAGAACACCTTAGAAGAATGGCCGCTTTCCATGAAATGTAGGAGAACACCTCAAAAGGATGTGTTTTTTTTTTTCCTTCAAGTATCGGGAAATACTCCAACAGAATGTCCCTTTTCCTTGACGTGTAAAAGAGCATCTCAAAGAATGTCCCTTTTCCTCAAAGTGTTGGAGAACACCTCAGAAGAATGTTCCTTTTCCTTGAATTGCAGGAAAACACCTAAAAAGAATTCCCCTTTTCCATGAAATGCAGGAGAACACCTCAGAAGAATGGTCCTTTTTCCTTTAAATGTAGAACGCCTCAAAAGAATGTCCCTTTTTCCATGAAACGTAGGAGAGCGCCTCAAAAGAATGCCCCTTTTCCACAAAATGTAGGAGAGCGCCTCAAAAGAATGCCCCTTTTCCACGAAATGTAGGAGAGCGCCTCAAAAGAATGTCCCTTTTCCACGAAATGTAGGAGAGCGCCTCAAAAGCATGTCCCTTTTCCACAAAATGTAGGAGAGCGCCTCAAAAGAAAGTTCCTTTTCCATGAAACGTAGGAGAGCGCCTCAAAAGCATGTCCCTTTTCCACAAAATGTAGGAGAGCGCCTCAAAAGAATGCCTCTTTTCCACGAAATGTAGGAGAGCGCCTCAAAAGAATGTCCCTTTTCCACGAAATGTAGGAGAGCGCCTCAAAAGCATGTCCCTTTTCCACAAAATGTAGGAGAGCGCCTCAAAAGAAAGTTCCTTTTCCATGAAATGTAGGAGAGCGCCTCAAAAGCATGTCCCTTTTCCATGAAATGTAAGAGAGCTCCTCAAAAGTATGTCCCTTTTCCACAAAATGTAGGAGAGCGCCTCAAAAGCATGCCCCTTTTCCACGAAATGTAGGAGAGCGCCTCAAAAGAAAGTTCCTTTTCCATGAAATGTAGGAGAGCGCCTCAAAAGAAAGTTCCTTTTCCATGAAATGTAGGAGAGCTCCTCAAAAGCATGTCCCTTTTCCACAAAATGTAGGAGAACGCCTCAAAAGCATGCCCCTTTTCCACGAAATGTAGGAGAGCGCCTCAAAACATGTCCCTTTTCCACGAAATGTAGGAGAGCTCCTCAAAAGTATGTCCCTTTTCCACAAAATGTAGGAGAGCGCCTCAAAAGCATGCCCCTTTTCCACGAAATGTAGGAGAGCTCCTCAAAAGAATGTCCCTTTTCCACGAAATGTAGGAGAGCGCCTCAAAAGAAAGTTCCTTTTCCACGAAATGTAGGAGAGCGCCTCAAAAGAATGTCCCTTTTCCATGAAATGTAGGAGAGCTCCTCAAAAGAATGTCCCTTTTCCACGAAATGTAGGAGAGCTCCTCAAAAGCATGTCCCTTTTCCATGAAATGTAGGAGAGCTCCTCAAAAGAATGTCCCTTTTCCACGAAATGTAGGAGAGCGCCTCAAAAGAAAGTTCCTTTTCCACGAAATGTAGGAGAGCGCCTCAAAAGAATGTCCCTTTTCCATGAAATGTAGGAGAGCGCCACAAAAAGTCCCTTTTCCTCGAAGTGTCAGAGAACAGATGAATCTTGTCCCATCTATTCTTTTGAGACCAGTGAAGTCACGTTTTGGACAGAGATGATGACAAAAATGTAGGAGAGCGCCTCAAAAGCATGTCCCTTTTCCATGAAATGTAGGAGAGCGCCTCACAAGAAAGTTCCTTTTCCATGAAATGTAGGAGAGCGCCTCAAAAATGAATGTCCCTTTTCCATGAAATGTAGGAGAGCTCCTCAAAAGAATGTCCCTTTTCCACGAAATGTAGGAGAGCTCCTCAAAAGAATGTCCCTTTTCCACGAAATGTAGGAGAGCTCCTCAAAAGCATGTCCCTTTTCCACGAAATGTAGGAGAGCTCCTCAAAAGCATGTCCCTTTTCCATGAAATGTAGGAGAGCTCCTCAAAAGAATGTCCCTTTTCCACGAAATGTAGGAGAGCGCCTCAAAAGAATGTCCCTTTTCCATGACACGTAGGAGAGCGCCTCAAAAGAATGTCCCTTTTCCACGAAATGTAGGAGAGCGCCTCAAAAGAATGTCCCTTTTCCACGAAATGTAGGAGAGCGCCTCAAAAGAATGTCCCTTTTCCACGAAATGTAGGAGAGCTCCTCAAAAGCATGTCCCTTTTCCACGAAATGTAGGAGAGCGCCTCAAAAGAATGTCCCTTTTCCTCGAAGTGTAGGAGAGCTCCTCAAAAGAATGTCCCTTTTCCATGAAATGTAGGAGAGCTCCTCAAAAGAAAGTTCCTTTTCCATGAAATGTAGGAGAGCGCCTCAAAAGAAAGTTCCTTTTCCATGAAATGTAGGAGAGCGCCTCACAAGAAAGTTCCTTTTCCATGAAATGTAGGAGAGCGCCTCACAAGAATGTCCCTTTTCCATGAAAATGTAGGAGAGCGCCTCACAAGAATGTCCCTTTTCCATGACACGTAGGAGAGCGCCTCACAAGAAAGTTCCTTTTCCATGACACGTAGGAGAGCGCCTCCTCACAAGAATGTCCCTTTTCCATGAAATGTAGGAGAGCGCCACAAAAAGTCCCTTTTCCTCGAAGTGTCGGAGAACAGATGAATCTTGTCCCGTCCATTCTTTTGAGACCAGTGAAGTCACGTTTTGGACAGAGATGACGACTTGTTTGTAAGAGGCGTGAAATGGGCCATCTACATCCAACTGGAACCAACCTTTCCCGAACAACGATGGGAGCCTTCTACACCATCGGTCTTCCACGTGTAGTGCCGTCTTCTCCACCCAGCAATCTACCAATTTCCATCTTCAGCCATGACTAGAAGGGTCAGCACCTATGCAGAGACCTTAGGGTGGGACAACCTAACTAGAGGGTTCCACAACTTCCACACCTCCCGTCCTGTCCTTGGGACAATCAACATCTGCCTTGACACCTTCCGTGGTGATTGGATGGAGGTGGCGGTGCCCGTTAGATATGAAGGTTGGGGCGTGCTCTGGACACGCCTCAGACGTGTTTTGGAGAAGCAAAACGAAATATCTTCAATGTTCCAGAACAAGTCCAGCTGAATGTGACCACCGACCAGCTACAGGTCCCGGGTGTGATCAGATGGGGCGATCGGTGTTGGTGTTCCTCAGATTTTCTGTTCTAAAGTCATTGAACCCTGGATAGAGTTGGCCCGGGTTATATCTTTCCGATTCGTATTATTACCCCCCCCCCCCCCCCCCCCATTGAGGAGACCCTCTCACTTCCTGCATGGTCACCAGGACAAGAACCGAAGGCGCATCTCCTCAATGGGGACACCATAGCAGAACCTCTAACCCCGCCCGGCTCTGTCCATGCTTCACTTTCAATAAAACGTGTGATTGGATGATGGGAGGTTGGTTGGTGGCCTGTGATTGGTTGGAGTGTCCTTGTGCTGAGCGCAGGATGCTGTCTCCTGGTAGGTCCTCGGTGGTGGTTCTGAAGTGGATTGTGGGTAATCAGGGTGCTGGGGAAGGTGTCGTCGTACCTTGGTAAATGTCCTCACCGGGGAGTTCCATACAGTAAAGAACAGGAAGGGGTTCTTTGCGGTAAGAGCGATAGGAAGGGGTTCTTCATAGAGCGATAGGAAGGGGTTCTTTGCAGTAAGAGCGATAGGAAGGGGTTCTTCACAGTACGAGCGATAGGAAGATGTTCTTTACAGTAAGAGCGATAGGAAGGGGTTCTTTACAGTAATAGCGAAAGGAAGGGGTTCTTTACAGTAAGAGCGAAAGGAAGGGGTTCTTTACAATGAGAGGAATAAGGAGTTCCATACAGTAAGGTAGAGGAAGGGGTTCTTTACAATAAGAGTGATAGTAAAGAGTTATTCATAGTAATAGCTGTAATAAAGGGATTATTTTCGATAAAAGTGGTAGAAGGGTTCCAGCAAGCTAGTAGAAGAGGTTCTTTATAGTAAGAGCTGTAGTAAACGAGTTGTTTACAGTAAGAGCGTTAGGAAGGGTTTTTTTACGATAGGAGTGGAAGAAGGGGTTCTTTACAGTAAGGTATAAGAGGTTCTTTACAGTAATAGCAATAGTAAAGGGTTCTTCATGGTAAGAGCTGTAATAAAGGGGTTCTTTACAATAGGAGTGGAAGAAGGGGTTCTTTACAGTAAGGTAGAAGAGGTTCTTTACAGTAATAGCATTAGTAAAGGGTTCTTCATGATAAGAGCTGTAGTAAAGGTTTCTTCATGGTAAGAGTTGTAGTAAAGGGTTCTTCATGGTAAGAGTTGTAGTAAAGGGTTCTTCATAGTAAGAGTTGTAGTAAAGGGTTCTTCATGGTAAGAGTTGTAGTAAAGGGTTCTTCATGGTAAGAGCTGTAGTAAAGGGTTCTTCATGGTAAGAGCTGTAGTAAAGGGTTCTTCATGGTAAGAGCTGTGATAAAGGGGTCCTTTACAATAGGACTGGAAGAAGGGATTCTTTACAGTAAGGTAGAAGAGGTTCTTAACAGTAATAGCAGTAGTAAAGGGTTCTTCATGGTAAGAGCTGTAGTAAAGGGTTCGTTACAGTAAGAGTGATAGGAAGGGATTCTTCAAGCTGAAGAACGGGTCTTTTGCGAGCAGGAGTTGTTACTGAGCGATCTCCCTTTGGGGGAGGGGCTTATTCTGGAACATGGCGACCCCGTAAGAGGTTTCCCTGTCCATCTTTCAGTGTAGTATGAGGGAGAGGACACCAGGCCACCCAGACAGTTCATATTGCAGACCAAGGCTTTTGGTGGGTGTTGTAGATGGTGGAAGGGTCCTGACATGAGCTTGGAGGGGGGGGGGGCGTGATGGCGAATGCTTTTGAACCTGTTTTGCCTTTGGCCCCCGGCAGCCCGTCAGACTGGCCCCGGAGCGGGAGTTCATCAAGTCTCTCATGTCTATCGGGAAGAGGCTTGCCACCCTGCCCACCAAGGAGCAGAAGACTCACCGGCTCATCTCCGAACTGTCCCTGCTGAACCACAAGCTGCCGGCCCGCGTCTGGCTGCCCACCGCCGGCTTCGACCACCACGTGGTGCGCATCCCTCACACGCAGGCCGTCGTGCTCAACTCCAAGGACAAGGTGCGTGGGGCGGAGCCTCGGAGGGCGTTCACGTGTGATACACAAGGGGGTTCACCAAACACGCAAAGCAGGGTCCCCCATTGTGGGAGGAGCAGAGACACAACTACTGGGGGAAATTCCCCATTGTGGGAGGGGCAGAGACACAAAATACTGGGGGAAATTCCCCATTGTGGGAGGGGCAGAGACACAAACTAGTGGAGGGAAATCTCCCCATTGTGGGAGGGGCAGAGACACAACTACTGGGGGAAATTCCCCATTGTGGGAGGGGCAGAGACACAAACTACTGGGGGATAATCTCCCCATTGTGGGAGGGGCAGAGACACAAACTACTGGAAGAAATCTCCCCATTGTGGGAGGGGCAGAGACACAAACTACTGGGAGAAATCTCCCCATTGTGGGAGGGGCAGAGACAAACTACTGGAGGGTAATCTCATTGTGGGAGGGGCAGAGACGCAAACTAGTGGGGGGAAAATCTCCCCATTGTGGGAGGGGCAGAGACACAACTACTGGGGGAAATTCCCCATTGTGGGAGGGGCAGAGACACAAACTAGTGGAGGGAAATCTCCCCATTGTGGGAGGGGCAGAGACACAAACCTACTGGAGAAAATCTACCCATTGTGGGAGGAGCAGAGACACAAACTACTGGGAGGAAATCTCCCCACTGTGGGCGGGGCAGAGACACAAACCTACTATGGAGAAATCTCCCCATTGTGGGAGGGGCAGAGACACAAATCTACTATGGAGAAATCTCCCCATTGTGGGAGGGGCAGAGACACAAACTACTGTAGGGAAATCTCCCCATTGTGGGAGGGGCAGAGACAAACTACTGGAGGGAAATCTCCCCATTGTGGGAGGGGCAGAGACACAAACTACTGGAGGGAAATCTCCCCATTGTGGGAGGGACAGAGAAACCAACTACTAGGGGAAATTGCCCCATTGTGGGAGGGCAGAGAGACAAACCTACTGTTGGGAAATCTCCCCATTGTGGGAGGGGCAGAGACACAAACCTACTGGGGGGAAATCTCCCCATTGTGGGAGGGGCAGAGACACAAACCTACTGGAGGGAAATCTCCCCATTGTGGGAGGGGCAGAGACACAAACCAGAGCCTATCACCATTTAGAAGTTCTCCTTGTAGGCTCCATATTTGATCTACGTGGAGGTTCTTGAGTGTGAGAACTTCGAGACATCTATGGTCCCGACCCGCATTCCCGAGAACCGCATCCGCAGCACGCGCTCGGTGGAGAATCTTCCGGAGTGCGGCATCACTCACGAGCAGAGAGCCAGCAGCTTCACGACGGTGCCCAATTACGACAACGACGACGAGGCCTGGTCGGTGGACGACATCGGCGAGCTGCAGGTAGAGGTGAGTGGCTCCCCGTAGAGTCAGGTCCCCGATTGCCCATTGTGGGTTCTCATCCCCGGAATGTTCTCTCTTGTCCTCCAGCTTCCCGAACTTCACACCAACAGCTGCGATAACATCTCCCAGTTCTCTGTGGACAGTATCACCAGCCAGGAGAGCAAGGAGCCCGTCTTTATCGCTGCCGGGGACATCCGGTGAGTGAACCAAGCTTGGACGGTAGGTGGCCAACTCTAGGGGTCTTCAGCCAACCAGAGCACTTCGACCTTTATAATACACGGCTCAAAGAAATGAAAGGACGTCTTTGTAATCCGAGTCGCATCAAGTCCATGAACCTCCTGGGATCTGGATCTGGTCAGGTAAGTAGCAGAGGGGGGTGGTAACCAGTTTCAGCTGCATTGGTGTTCATGAAATCACCAACAGGTGCACTAGATGGGCAACAGTGAGACGACCCCCAAAACAGGAATGGTTTTACAGGTGAAATTGTTTTCCCTACTCCTCTTTTCTGACTGTTTTTCACTAGTTTGCATTTGGCTCGGGTCAGTGTCACTGCTGGTAGCATGAGGCCATACCTGGACCCTACAGAGGTTGCACAGGCAGTCCAACTCCTCCAGGATGGCACATCAATACGTACCATTGCCAGAAGGTTTGCTGTGTCTCCCAGCACAGTCTCAAGAGCATGGAGGAGATTCCAGGAGACGAGAGCATGGAGGAGATTCCGGGAGACGAGAGCATGGAGGAGATTCCGGGAGATGAGAGCACGGAGGAGATTCCGGGAGACGAGAGCATGGAGGAGATTCCGGGAGACGAGAGCATGGAGGAGATTCCGGGAGACGAGAGCAAGGAGGAGATTCCGGGAGACGAGATCACGGAGGAGTTTCCGGGAGACGAGATCACGGAGGAGATTCCGGGAGACGAGATCACGAAGGAGATTCCGGGAGACGAGATCACGGAGGAGATTCCGGGAGACGAGATCACGGAGGAGATTCCGGGAGACGAGATCACGGAGGAGATTCCGGGAGACGAGATCACGGAGGAGATTCCGGGAGACGAGATCACGGAGGAGATTCCGGGAGACGAGATCACGGAGGAGATTCCGGGAGACGAGATCACGGAGGAGATTCCGGGAGACGAGATCACGGAGGAGATTCCGGGAGACGAGAGCATGGAGGAGGTTCCGGGAGACAGGCGGTTCCTCTAGGAGAGCTGGACAGGGTCATAGAAGGTCCTCAACCCATCAGCAGGACCGGTATCTGCTCCTTTGTACAAGGAGGACCAGGATGAGCCCTGCCAGAGCCCTACAAAATGACCTCCAGCAGGCCACTGGTGGGAATGTCTGACGAAACAATCAGAAACAGACTTCATGAGGGTGGTCTGAGGGCCCGACGTCCTCTAGTGGGCCCTGTGCTCACTGCGCGGTACCATAGAGCTGGATTGGCATTGGCCATTGAACCCCAGAATTGGCAGGTCCACCACTGGCACCCTGTGCTTTTCACAGATGAGAGCAGGTTCCCCCTGAGCACATGTGACAGACGTGAAAGGGTCTGGAGAAGCCGTGGAGAACGTTCTGCTGCCTGTAACATGGTTCAGCATGACCATTCTGGTGGTGGGTCAGTGATGGTCTGGGGAGGCATATCCATGGAGGGACGCACAGACCTCTACAGGACAGACAATGGACCCCTGACTGCCATTAGGTATGGGGATGAAATCCTTGGACCCATTGTCAGACCCTATGCTGGTGCAGTGGGTCCTGTGTTCCTCCTGGTGCTGTGGGCCCTGGGTTCCTCCTGGTGCGGTGGGCCCTGGGTTCCTCCTGGTGCGGTGGGCCCTGGGTTCCTCCTGGTGCGGTGGGCCCTGGGTTCCTCCTGGTGCGGTGGGCCCTGGGTTCCTCCTGGTGCGGTGGGCCCTGGGTTCCTCCTGGTGCGGTGGGCCCTGGGTTCCTCCTGGTGCGGTGGGCCCTGGGTTCCTCCTGGTGCGGTGGGCCCTGGGTTCCTCCTGGTGCGGTGGGCCCTGGGTTCCTCCTGCTGCGGTCGTTCCTGGGTTCCTCCTGGTGCAGTGGGTCCTGGGTTCCTCCTGGTGCAGTGCAGTCCTGGGTTCCTCGTGGTGCGGTGGGTCCTGGGTTCCTCGTGGTGCGGTGGGTCCTGGGTTCCTCGTGGTGCGGTGGGCCCTGGGTTCCTCGTGGTGCGGTGGGCCCTGGGTTCCTCCTGGTGCGGTGGGCCCTGGGTTCCTCCTGGTGCGGTGGGCCCTGGGTTCCTCCTGGTGCGGTGGGTCCCGTGTTCCTCCTGGTGCAGGACAATGCCCGGCCTCATGTGGGAAAAGTATGCAGGCAGTTCCTGGAGGATGAAGGAATTGATCCCATTGAATGGCCCCCACGCTCGCCTGACCTAAATCCAATAGAACCCCTCTGGGATGTCATGTTTCGGTCCATCCGATGCCTCCAGGTTGCACCTCAGACTGTCCAGGAGCTCAGTGATGTCCTGGTCCAGATCTGGGAGGAAATCCCCCAGGACACCATCCGTGGTCTCATTAGGACCCTCCCCCGACGTTGTCAGGCATGCATACAAGCACGTGGGGGCCACACAGACTACTGAGGACCATTCTGAGTTGCTGCAATGACATTTCATGGACTCGCCTGCTGCATCATTTCTTCACTTTGATTTTCGGGGTGTCTGTGAATTCAGTCCTCTGTAGGTCGATCATTTCCATCCAATGATGGGGCGTCCTTACGTTCCTCACCCATCCCCCGTCCATGTCAGTATAGAGATCCAGCAGGAGATTCCTCCCCATTGGGATCTGATGGGTTCTCAGAGTCTTCCTCTCATTGGTGGAGCCGTGTAGATATAAATGGTGGTGGAGACCCTTCCACATGAAGAACCCATTTTCTGGGGGTCTCCTTTAATTGGGTGTAGAAGGGGAGAACCGATCTGAAACTTCTCTGCATCTCCTGCAGGAGGCGACTGTCGGAGCAGCTGGCACACACCCCCACCACGTTCCGCAGAGACCCGAGGACCCGTCCGCTGTAGCACTGAAGGAGCCCTGGGAGGAGAAAGTCAGGTGCGTGTTGGGGGCGGGGCCAGTGTGCCTTGTAGTGAGCGCCAGACTGTAGTGTGTACCTAACGTGACCTATCGTATCGCAGGAGGATCCGCGAGGGCTCCCCCTATGGTCACTTTCCCAACTGGAGGCTTCTCTCGGTCATCGTGAAATGTGGAGACGACCTGAGGCAGGAGCTGCTGGCCTATCAGGTCCTCAAACAGCTGCAGGTAATTGGGGGCGGGGAATGGAGGGAGGGGAATGATTGCTCCCTCTACTGGAGAGGTGTGGTAATGGAGGGAGGGGAATGATTGCTCCCTCTACTGGAGAGGTGTGGTAATGGAGGGAGGGGAATGATTGCTCCCTCTACTGGAGAGGTGTGGTAATGGAGGGAGGGGAATGATTGCTCCCTCTACTGGAGAGGTGTGGTAATGGAGGGAGGGGAATGATTGCTCCCTCTACTGGAGAGGTGTGGTAATGGAGGGAGGGGAATGATTGCTCCCTCTACTGGAGAGGTGGAGAATGGTGTGGTAATGGGAGGAGGGCAGGGAATGATTGCTCTCCTCTACTGGAGAGGTGTGGTAATGGAGGGAGGGGAATGATTGCTCCCTCTACTGGAGAGGTGTGGAGGGTGGTAGAGGTGGAGGGCAGGGGAATGATTGCTCCCTCTACTGGAGAGGTGTGGTAATGGAGGGCGGGGAATGATTGCTCCCTCTACTGGAGAGGTGTGGTAATGGAGGGCGGGGAATGATTGCTCCCTCTACTGGAGAGGTGTGGTAATGGAGGGCGGGGAATGATTGCTCCCTCTACTGGAGAGGTGTGGTAATGGAGGGCGAGGGAATGATTGCTCCCTCTACTGGAGAGGTGTGGTAATGGAGGGCGGGGAATGATTGCTCTCCCTCTACTGGAGAGGTGTGGTAATGGAGGGCGGGGAATGATTGCTCCCTCTACTGGAGAGGTGTGGTAATGGAGGGCGGGGAATGATTGCTCCCTCTACTGGAGAGGTGTGGAGAGGTGATTGCTCCCTCTACTGGAGAGGTGTGGTAATGGAGGGCGGGGAATGATTGCTCCCTCTACTGGAGAGGTGTGGTAATGGAGGGCGGGGAATGATTGCTCCCTCTACTGGAGAGGTGTGGTAATGGGGGCGGGGAATGATTGCTCCCTCTACTGGAGAGGTGTGGTAATGGAGGGCGGGGAATGATTGCTCCCTCTACTGGAGAGGTGTGGTAATGGAGGGCGGGGAATGATTGCTCCCTCTACTGGAGAGGTGTGGTAATGGAGGGCGGGGAATGATTGCTCCCTCTACTGGAGAGGTGTGGTAATGGAGGGCGGGGAATGATTGCTCCCTCTACTGGAGAGGTGTGGTAATGGAGGGGGGGAATGATTGCTCCCTCTACTGGAGAGGTGTGGTAATGGAGGGTGGGAATGATTGCTCCCTCTACTGGAGAGGTGTGGTAATGGAGGGTGGGGAATGATTGCTCCCTCTACTGGAGAGGTGTGGTAATGGAGGGCGGGGAATGATTGCTCCCTCTACTGGAGAGGTGTGGTAATGGAGGGTGGAGGAATGATTGCTCCCTCTACTGGAGAGGTGTGGTAATGGAGGGTGAGGAATGATTGCTCCCTCTACTGGAGAGGTGTGGTAATGGAGGGTGAGGAATGATTGCTCCCTCTACTGGAGAGGTGTGGTAATGGAGGGCGGGGAATGATTGCTCCCTCTACTGGAGAGGTGTGGTAATGGAGGGGGGGGAATGATTGCTCCCTCTGGAGAGGTGGAGAGGTGTGGTAATGGAATGGAGGGTGGGGAATGATTGCTCCCTCTGCTGGAGAGGTGTGGTAATGGAGGGCGGGGAATGATTGCTCCCTCTGCTGGAGAGGTGTGGTAATGGAGGGCGGGGAATGATTGCTCCCTCTGCTGGAGAGGTGTGGTAATGGAGGGCGGGGGAATGATTGCTCCCTCTGCTGGAGAGGTGTGGTAATGGAGGGTGAAGAATGATTGATTGCTCCCTCTACTGGAGAGGTGTGGTAATGGAGGGTGAGGAATGATTGCTCCCTCTGCTGGAGAGGTGTGGTAGTGGAGGGCGGGGAATGATTGCTCCCTCTACTGGAGAGGTGTGGTAACAAGTGGAGGGCGGGGAATGATTGCTCCCTCTGCTGGAGAGGTGTGGTAACAGAGGGCGGGGAATGACTGCTCCCTCCCGGTTGGCGATGATTCCAGCAGACGAGGCAAAGGCTGAATGGACTGGTGTCCTGCACTAATCTCCATCTCCTCTCTCCTGCAGTCCATATGGGAGACGGAGCGTGTTCCTCTGTGGATCCGGCCATACAAGATCCTGGTGATCTCGGCGGACAGCGGTATGATAGAGCCGGTGGTCAATGCCGTGTCCATCCATCAGGTGAAGAAGCAGTCCCAGCTGTCTCTTCTGGATTATTTCCTCCAGGAACACGGCAGCTACACCACCGAAGCCTTCCTGACCGCGCAACGCAACTTCGTACAGAGCTGTGCCGGGTACTGCCTGGTCTGCTACCTTCTGCAGTCAAAGACAGGTGAGAGATCCCAAGGGACCCACCTGGGGGAGGGGCATAGGCAGGGGTGGACTGACCATTTGGAAACTCAGGCACGGCTCGAGGGCCCGGGGTCAGTAAGGGGCCCCATGAAATGCCCCTGGTACCTTTTTCATAGGCTTTTTTGAGTTTAGGAAAGGACACAGGGGCCCCATGATCCCCTATTGCCCGGGGGGCCCCATGAGCTGTCAGTCCGCCCCTGACATAGGGAGGGCTTAGTGCCCAGGACAGGCCGGGGGGGTTGGAGGAGGCAGGGATACAGGTCTGGGGGACTATAAAGTGGTGGTAAAAGATCGGTGCACTACAGGAGGTTGGGCCAGGACTGGCAGCTTCTCTTTTTTCTTTGCCCACCATTAATATGCTCTTGGGATATGAGGGGGCGGAGTCTGTGATTTCCTACCGACTCAAGCTCGCACAGACCCCGCCCCCTCATACCTCATAGAGCAATATTAATGGCGGCGTCTGTGCGAGCTTGACTGGTAGGAAATCACAGACTCCGCCCCCTCATATCCCAAGTTCACATCAAAGGCCAATCAGTTTGAAGCCATCATATATGTTGTTCCGTGTACACGTGATCACATGCAGATGAATTGTCTCAGCATTCTTTATAATCGCTGACATCGGGCCTGCTGGGCTGGATAGTCCCTGACACCTGGTGAAAATGCTGCTCCCTGCTCCCATCAGTGCTGCTGGGATGTTGGCCTAGGAACTTACATTACAAGGGCAGATTCTCCAGCCTCATCCCCTCCCCCCTCCAGCAGAGACCACAGAGCCACTCTTATGGGACCATCACTGGAGGGAGTCTGGAGCAGCGTTTTCTCAAGGACCGCCCACATGGAAAGACAAATATATTTGAAATCTATTGTAAAAATTATTCTTTCCAAATATATATTGACATATATTATAAATACTACAATTTTGGCCGCATTCAATATATTTCAATAAATCTCTCTCTATATATATATAATGTGTATAAACTGTTGAAATGCGTTTTTTATTACAAAACATATGAAAAATAGTTTTAAAAATACATTTTCAATTTAAAAATAAAAAAAATCTACATTTTTTGAAATGCATTTACAAATATATGTTCAAATTATATTTTTTTGTTACAAATATGATATATGAAAATATAGTTTTAAAAAATTTTTTTTTTAAATATATTCTTCAGTTTTTTTTTGAAAAATATAATTTGAACATATATTTGTAAATGCATTTCAAAAATGTAGATTTTTTATTTTTAAAGGCATACAGAATATTTGAAAAATGTATTTTTAAAACTATTTTTCATATGTTTTGTAATATATAAAAAACACATTTCAATATGTGCAGTGTGTATGTATGTATGTATATGTGTGTATGTATTCTGTTGTATGTGTGTGTATATGTATGTATGTATGTATGTAAGTATG